GTGAAATATGTCAGAGAAGGAGATATTGTAGGACTTTTTGAAGTATTCCTACAATGTTAAAGCTTTACAAGTGTTGGACTTTAACCGCCTCCCACCCGCCATATAAGGAAATGATGGGTGGGCGGTTGCTCTCTCGTTCCGGGAGGACGTCATATGACGTCCTCCCACTCTAGCTGCACGTGAGCGCCCCCTCAGGGTGCCCAACATGGTGATCGGTGGTGTGTCCCTGGGATCACTGATCGCAGTAAAGAGCTGATGACGCAGTCTCTTATCATGTGTCCAATCACAGCTGACCACGTGTAAATAGGAAATGCCAGTTATCGCCTTTCCTTTCTTCATACTGACAGCGCATGAGGAGAGGAGAACCGGTAAGCAGCATTTCTCAGAGGGGGCATCTACACTGATAATCGGTACCCTGATGATCAGTGCTGCCTTTCAGTGCCCATCAATGCCACATCAGTGCCCATCAATGCCACACACCAGTGACCATCAGTGCCCATCAGAGCTGCTTTTCAGTGCCAACTATCAGTCTGCTGCCAGTTGTTTTTGTCTGTAAGTTTTCCTTGTCTGATACTAAGTGATAGGAAATTCAACATTTTACCATTGTCATCAGAACAAGAGGTGAAGGTAAATCTTCCAATGGGGGCACACAGATGAAAAGTTTCTCTCCGGTCTATACAGTTTGTCTAATCAATATGCAGAGAGGTGATTTTGGAAGCATTTGAAAGCTTTGGTTCCATTGATGAAGACAGATTTGGGCAAATGCCAACTTTTATGTGAGTACTTGGTGCTCTGTACATGTGTATGCCATCAACTGAAGCCTCCCTATCCAGGCAATGGGAAGCATTCAGATCTTGGTTTGTTAGGGCTCATGTACACGGGACGTTTGGAAATCTCTTGTGACCGCTAGAAACTGACTGCTGGAAAATATAGGTTAAAAAACCTAACAGTTTAGCGTGTTTGCATACCACGTTTATGTGCGTTTGCGTTTAGAAGTGTTTTTAAAAGATAACCTCAGGAGACCTTCCCAAATGCCCAGAATGCACTAAAAAATAGTAAATAATTAACGAAATGGTTAGCACTTCCGCCTGGCAGTACTAGGGTCATTGGTTCAAATCCCAGCCATGGCACCACCTACCTGGAGTTTGTATGTTCTCCCTGTGCCTGTGTGGGTTTTCTCCGGGTACTCCGGTTTCCTCCCACACTCCAAAGACATGCTGGTAGGTTAATTGGCTCCTGTCTAAACTGGCCCTAGTATAGTATGTGCATGTATGACTGTGAGTTAGGGACCTTAGATTGTACGCCCCTTGAGGGTTAGGGACTGATGTGAATGTACAATATATATGTAAAGCACTGTGTACATTGACGGCGCTATATAAGTACCTGAAATAAATAAACTATTTCAGACATTTTGTGAGATAGAGAGAGCAGAAGCAGAGAGAGCAGTATGTGTTGAGATGACCTGTCTTTTCTGGTTGTATTCACTATGGATCCCATCATGAGCATAATGCGGCACGGTCTACCATTGCTTCCTTCACGCCAAACCTGGAACTGACTGCGCTGGTGTACCGGGTCCATTTGAATACATGGAAAACGCTGTGAAGAAAAAAGGCTCTGGACAGCATCTGGATATGGACCTGTCAAAAAATGCATCTAAACACAAATGCAGTTAACCGCGTTTACAAATGTTTGACACACCGATAAAATCTACTCCTGAATGCAATTTTTGTGTGTTAAAAAAATGACTGTAAACTCAATTGCCTGTAAACGATTGTAAATGACGATGTGTACATGGACACATAGGAAAACATAGAGGAGATTTCAGGGGCTGCTGAAAAAAACGCTCAGCAGCTCCTGAACGCCAGTTTTGCAGCTGCAGTGCACATGAGCCCTTAGGCTGCAATCATCAACAGTTAATCTTGATATAATGGAAGGGTATCTCTTTATAGGAATGACCTTTGCAGATTGCCATACCAGGGTTCCCATAAACTGTTTGTCTCTGAAACAATGAAGTCCTTTCATACATTTGCTGGGGTCATCATTCCAAGACAGGAGTAAGAAGAAAACTGGTCAAAGCAAATTTTACTTTGCTATAATCCCAGATATAGGTACATCAAGGTGATCGTTATTTTGTTATTAAACTAGCGTATTAAAATATGATTACAAGGACGAATGTTAACATCGACTAGTATTAGCATCAAAATCTTTTTTTTTTTTTTTTTTTTTTCTTGCTTAAAGCAACTCAGTTGCAAAAAGAAAAACGTAAACACCCTGCTCATGGCCATGTGACGCAAAGATCATAAACCTGCTGTACTGCCACATGTGCAGAAGTGGTCTCACCTCTCAGACCATAGATCAGGGCGACAGTAGGGATCAGGAAATCCTAGACACTGCTCCTTGACGTGTCATATGACACAACCCAGGGGAGATCAGGGAAGGCTTCCTCACTCTGCGGGGCACACTGCATCTGAGGTCTAGTGAGAGCTGTGTGCAATTTTAGCTTGGGGTAGCTTGTTTGTACCAGCAGGGGGGATTTTTGCTTGTGAGGGGAGATGCATGGTAGTTACATCTGACCTCTGCACTTTGCATTACACACTGCTAACCTTTGCATTGTGCGCTACATACTCCTGCCCCCTGCACTCTGCATTACACCTTACCTTTGCGCTGTGTGTTAGTCCTTTGCACTCTGCATTAGATACTACTAACCTCTACACTCTGATACCTACTCTTGACCCTTTTAATCTGCATTACATTGTACTGACTTCTGCACTGTGGGCTGCATTCTACTGACCCCTGTACTGTACATTACATACCTACTGACCTCTACACCCTGCGTTACTCCTGACCCATGCACTCAGCATTACATGTTACTGACCTCTGCACTTTGCGTCACTCCTGACCACTTTGGTTTACTGACTCCTGACACCTGCACATTGAATTACATAATGCTGATCCCTACACTCTACATTACTTGCTCCTGACCTCTCCACTGTGCATTACACACTACTGACTGCTACACTCTGCATTACATAATCCTGACCTCTACACTGTACATTACATAATCCTGACCTCTACACTGTACATTACATAATCCTGACCTTTACACTCTGCCTTACATAACCTGACCATTACACTGTGCATTACATATTAATGACTGCTACACTCAACATTATATACTACCGATCAATACACTCTGTGTTGCATACAGCTGACCTCTTCACTCTGCATTACATATTACTGACCTCTACATTCTGCATTACATATTACTGACCTCTACATTCTGCATTACATACTATTCACCTCTTCACTCTGCATTACATACTATTGACCTTTACATTCTGCATTACATACTACTGACCTCTACATTCTGCATTACATACTACTGACCTCTACATTCTGCATTACATACTACTGACCTCTACATTCTGCATTACATACTATTGACCTCTACATTCTGCATTACATATTACTGACCTCTACATTCTGCATTACATACTACTGACCTCTACATTCTGCATTACATACTACTGACCTATACATTCTGCATTACATACTACTGACCTCTACATTCTGCATTACATACTACTGACCTCTACATTCTGCATTACATACTACTGACCTCTACATTTTGTATTACATACTACTGACCTCTACATTCTGCATTACATACTACTGACCTCTACATTCTGCATTACATATTATTGACCTCTACATTCTGCATTACATACTACTGACCTTTACATTCTGCATTACATACTATTGACCTCTACATTCTGCATTACCTACTACTGACCTTTACATTCTGCATTACATACTACTGACCTTTACATTCTGCATTACATACTACTGACCTCTACATTCTGCATTACATACTACTGACCTCTACATTCTGCATTACATACTACTGACTTCTACATTCTGCATTACATACTATTGAACTCATCATTACTGCTGACCCCTTAACTCCCTAAACCTTCTTTACTTTTTATTGGAGCCTTGCTAGATTTGAAAAGAACACGCTGCCCCTGGTGATCTTGGATCTCTACCATCCTATAGCTAGATCTTTCACCTCTCCAGGTTCCCCTATAAAGGTTATATAGGGAGGTGAGAGCCGGACAGATTTGCTGGGCCACAGACACTCCCAGAATAGGAGAGGTGCGAGGAGGGACGGGGAAACTTTCTGTGCTGTTGCACATAATTAGTAAAGTCGGTAACAGGGTCTCTTTAATCCTTTGACTCTCTCCTTCTTTAATCGTCTGCCCCTTCTCTTCTCTCTCCTTTCCAGTGTATTGTTCTCTCGCTCTCTCGCTCATTCTCTCCTCCCACTTTCTCTCACCTCTTATATTTTTTTTATCCCATGCCTCCTCTCTGCGCCTCTCCTTGCTTGTCTCAGTCTTTCTCTCTCCCCCGTGTTTAACACTCTCACATCTGTCTGGCTTTACTTATATACAGACTCTGAGGAATTCTGAATCTTACAAAATGACATCTTTTCTTATATACAGGCAGCTTTATTCGAGATCTGGGACATCGGACAGGTATTGGAACTTGCATTCCAAAACGCACGGCATTAAACAGAATGGCAGCGCTGGAAATCTAAGATGGTAGTTGGCGATAGAGACTTTTAATATAAAACCAGATCAGGTTGCTATTTTGTGCATTTTTCATGCGATAACATTCTTCACGCCTTGGGTTGCCCATTCACATGAATGGGCTGCTCAACACGAGACAAATGTCCTAAAGTAGCTCAAGAACTTTTTCGATCACAGAGCATCATGCGTTTTTTTCAGTGGGTGTTTGTAGCACATTGTTGTGCCGCAAGACATGCATCTGCCATCCCCGCTTAGGGTGCCATTAGCAATTAATGGCACTGCTAGCGTGACCTGCAGCCTGTTTGCAGCGTGTTTATGAAACACACGGGTTTGATTGCAGCCTCAAATTGTTACTAAACCCAGGACCCCGCATTCATTATATCCGGTCTCCCCGGACCCTGCATTCACTAGATCCGGTCTCCCCGGACCCGGCATTCACTAGATCCGGTCTCCCCAGATCCTGCATTCACTATATCCGGTCTCCCGGACCCTGCATTCACTATATCTGGTCTCCCCGGACCCTGCATTCACTATATCTGGTCGCCCCGGACCCTGCATTCACTAGATCCGGTCTCCCCGTACCCTGCATTCACTAGATCTGGTCTCCCCGGACCCTGCATTCACTATATCTGGTCTCCCCAGACCCTGCATTCACTATATCTGATCTCCCCGGACCCTGCATTTACTATATCCGGTCTCCCCGGTCCCTGCATTCACTATATCCGGTCTCCCGGGTCCCTGCATTCACTATATCTTTCTCCCAGGACCCTGCATTCACTATATCTGGTCTTCCAGGACCCTGCATTCACTATATCTGGTCTCCCAGGACCCTGCATTCACTATATCTGGTCTCCCAGGATCCTGCATTCACTATATCTGGTCTCCCCGGATCCTGCATTCACTATATCTGGTCTCCCCGGTCCCTGCATTCACTATATCTGGTCTCCCCGGACCCTGCATTCACTATATCTGGTCTCCCTGGTCCGTGCATTCACTATATCTGGCCTCCCCGGACCCTGCACTCACTATATCTGGTCTCCCCGGACCCTGCATTTACTATATCTGATCTCCCCGGACCCTGCATTCACTATATCCACTCTCCCTGGACCCTGCATTCACTATATCTGGTCTCCCTGGAGCCTGCATTTACTACAGTATTGTACACATAGACAAACACAATACCTGCACATTGTGACTCATCAGGGTCGGGAAGTAATTTGGTCATCACTGTGTTTTAGATACAGCATAAAAATTTTTGAAACAGTATACAATTCAGTATGTTGCCATGAGAGCTAATTCACACAGGTGCAGCAAGCTCTACCATCCCTCTGAAAAGCGATCCGCAGAGTCGTATTGTAGATATTCAAAAGGTGATACTGCCCGTTTTTCAATTCCCAATTGGAATTTAAAATGAAATGGCCACACCGCAACTACTACCGATCAGCGACTGCTGCCCCTCTCTGCCAATCCCTTCACTGGCTTCCACTAACCCAACGTATAAAATTCAAAATACTAACCACAGCTTACAAAGCCATCCACAACACTGCTCCTAGCTACATCACCAACCTCATCCACAGATATCGCCCAAATCGCCCACTCCACTCCTCCCATGATATCCTCCTCTATAGCTCCCTCATCACCTCCTCCCACGCTCGCCTTCAGGACTTCTCCAGAGCCTCTCCCATCCTCTGGAACTCCCTACTACAGCATGTCCAGTCAGCCCCCACCCTGTCTGCCTTTTGGCGATCTTTGAAAACTCACTTCAGGGAAGCCTACCCCACCTCCACCTAAGAACTGTACTTGAATCACCTCCACCAGATCATCTCCTGCAGCGATCATCTTTTGTATCACCTCCCCCTTCCTTTAGATTGTAAGCTCCATGACCAGGACCCTCCTATTCCTTCTGTACTGAAATGTATTGTAATTGTACTGTCTCCCTTATATTGTAAAGCGCTGCGAAAACTGTTGGCGCTATATAAATCCTGTATAATAATATATAAATCCTGTATAATAATATATAAATCCTGTATAATAATAATAATAATACTTTAGCTGTGTTTGGCTATTCTATTCTGAGTGGTTTAAGCTTCGCACACACGATCAGAAAATCGAACGAAGAGCGCCGCTTTCGAATCGATCGTATGATAATCTGATCGCTAATACACAGCTTTCATCTGAAATTATTTGAAGGGACAGGCACGAAAATATTTCTTGCATGATTCCAGATTGTACAATTTTCGTTTGATCAGTACAGTTTTCTTCCGAATATACAATACAAACACATGACTTCACTTCCGAGTTTTCTTTCTGTTTTACAAGATTTTTTGTAACTTTAGTGACCTCTTTACTTTCGATATGAGACTAGCATGCAGAAAAAAAAAAAAAGGAGGATTGTTCGTCCAATATTCTCATCGTGTGTACGGGGCTTGAAGCGGAATTCCACCCAAAAGGGGAAGTTCTGCTTTAAAGATTGGTCTCCCGCTCCCCATTAAGGATTGGCACCTTTGGGGAGTGGGTACCCGAAATTGACAGGTACCCGCTCACACTTCCGCTGCGATCACCTAGGTGATCGGAAGCGGAAGTTGTCCTCCTACCCTCCCTCCCCAAAGTCTTGTGGGACACGGGATAGGTCCGAGAAGATGGCGGGGCCATTCAGGAAACGCAGCGCTACTCGCGCATGCGCAGTGGGCACCCGGCTGTGACAAAGTCCCCTATGTGATGATTTTTGGTGACAGGTTCTCTTTGTTGAGACATCCAGGCTCTAAAACACCCTGGATGCCTCCCTTGAATGTAAGGCAGTGCGCATCGCACTGCATTACATTCTTTCCTGGCCTCAATGGCTGGGAAGTCTTTGAACGGGGACCCGGAAGTGACATAACATCACTTCCGGGTCAGGACAAGACGGTGAGGGAAGCGGATGTGTTTTCTCCTCCCTCCCCTCTAGCCAACGGTGGTGAGCCGGTCCTGGGCCTGTAGATGGGCAAGCGGAGGCCGGGAGACAGTGGGCAGTTCATGCGGGGGGAGGGAGGCTGGCACTGTCTGGAAGTAATCGGCTGCCACCTGAATGCTTCCACCTGACAGGTGAGCCCTGCTGCTTGCCTGCAACAAGGCTGAAGAATAATAAAAAAAAAAAACTACCTGCACGGCGCTTGGAACTACATATCTCGGGCGATATAAATTCAACATCCCTGATTATCAGTCAGCTGCTGCCCCTGTAGGGCTCACATGAGGATAGTGGCAGGGTCTGCATCCCTTTTAGACGTGACTTCCGTTTGGGAGTATGACATTTTTGCTGCACGGGATGCCAAAAATCTGGGGAAATTCAGTGAGCCAATCGCACAAGCAGGAAGTGACATTTCAAGGGGCATTCTCTATACCATCTGTGTACAGAATACCTCCAGGTAGCTCGATTGCATTTTTCAGAAAATTGCAGATTTATTTATTTATTACAGGTACTTGTACAGCGCTTTACATATATATTGTACATTCACATCAGTCCCTAACCCTCAAGGGGCGTACAATCTAAGGTCCCTAACATAGATACACATACTAGGGCCAGGTTAGACAGGTTCCAGTTAACCTAGCAGCATGTCTTTGGAGTGTGGGAGGAAACCGGAGTACCTGGAGGAAACCAACACAGGCACAGGGAGAACATGCAAACTCCAGGCAGGTGGTGCTGTGGTTGGGATTCGAACCCACGACCCTAGTACTGCCAGGCGGAAGTGCTAACCATTTAGCCCCTGTGCTGCAAGGAAACATAATTTGTAATAACATTTGATCGCAATATGACTTGAGTGGCAATTGTATATGCTATATTAATAATTTTTTTTTTATTTGCTAATTTTTTTTTTCCCCCACAAAAGTGGAGTTACCCTTTAAATATTTTCTAAGCCAAGACCTTTAGCACGTATACAGATAAGAAGCTCCCCTTCACTGGCTGCATGCTTGTTGCAGGCCAGTGACTCGGAAAGTAGAGGCAGCCGGGTAGTTTGCATTTTCAGAAGGTCTGTAAGGGGAGCCCTTTTAGGTTTCCTTTCATTGGCTGCATGCAGTGATCTCCGCAGCTTCCTCTTTATATAACAATACCCGGCACCATCATCCGAGTTGTTCTTGAACGCCGTTTACGTAAACGCTGTACACATGCACAACACGAGCACGCATTGCTGGTCGCCTGGCTTGTTTGTGTCTCTTTTTATTTTTCCCCTCTCTCCTTGTACGTGTGCTTTTTTGTCTGAGCGGCCCTGACTGAGTGTGCCTCATATTTCTGACTCACTGCGATCTACAGCACAAATAAACAATTACTGAGATAGTACAACTGCGGGAGCTCGGCCCAGCCAATCACTGCAGGCTGCGGTCACCGTGGGAACAGCATGTGTGGGTGGAGCTTTTAAAGGGGACGCTTACAGCTGAAGACGGAGAAATGGATCTGCTATGTATCTGTCCCCACCCCCTTCACTGATTGCTGGGGTATTTATAGTGCTCAGATTACAAGATTGTTTTCTAAATGTAGCAATTATTTATTGTAATTTTGTTTTCGGTAGAAAGTGTATTAAAATTTATAAATAATAATAATAATAAAAAATATGAACAAGGAAGGATTGATATATTTTATTTTTGTTTTGATTCTTCATTTTCTTGATTTTTCATTCTATTTTTTTTTTTTTGTAAAAAATCTCCGGTGTATAACAAAGTATACAAAATCCGGAAAACATACCAAGTGGGCAGCACAGTGGCTAAATGGTTAGCACTTCCGCCTGGCAGTACTATTTATTTCAGGTACTTATACAGCGCTGTCAATTTACGCAGCGCTTTACATATATATTGTACATTCACATCAGTCCCTAACCCTCAAGGGGCGTACAATCTAAAGTACCTAACTTACATTCATACACAGACTAGGGCAGTGGTGGCGAACCCGTGGCACGCGTGCCACAGCCGGCACGCCGAGCCTGATCTGTGGGCACGCCAGGAGAATCCAGCGGCGCGCTGTCTTCCCGGCTGTAGTGTGCGTGACAGCCGGGTCCCAAGTGCGCATGCACAAGAAGCAGTGCTCCTTGTGAATGGTAAGGCGGTACCTGGGACACATGACAGATCCCAGAAGCCGCCGGACCAATCACAAAGCGCAGCGCTTCTCGCGCATGCGCACTGGGCATCCGGCTGTCCGACGAGCGCCCACACTACAGAAGCCGGGAAGACAGAGCGCGGCTGGATCGAGGAACAGGTAAGATAAAAAAAAAAAACTCTGCGGAAGTAAGAGCGGGTACCTGTCAAATTCAGGTACCCGCTCCCCCCTCCCTCCCCAAAGGTCAGCAGTCATCCCTGTGCTGTGTCCCCAGTCTCTGGTCATCCCTGTGCTGTGTCCCCAGTCTCTGGTCATCCCTGTGCTGTGTCCCCAGTCTCTGGTCATCCCTGTGCTGTGTCCCCAGTCTCTGGTCATCCCTGTGCTGTGTCCCCAGTCTCTGGTCATCCCTGTGCTGTGTCCCCAGTCTCTGGTCATCCCTGTGCTGTGTCCCCAGTCTCTGGTCATCCCTGTGCTGTGTGTCCCCAGTCTCTGGTCATCCCTGTGCTGTGTCCCCAGTCTCTGGTCATCCCTGTGCTGTGTCCCCAGTCTCTGGTCATCCCTGTGCTGTGTCCCCAGTCTCTGGTCATCCCTGTGCTGTGTCCCCAGTCTCTGGTCATCCCTGTGCTGTGTCCCCAGTCTCTGGTCATCCCTGTGCTGTGTCCCCAGTCTCTGGTCATCCCTGTGCTGTGTCCCCAGTCTCTGGTCATCCCTGTGCTGTGTCCGCAGTCTCTGGTCATCCCTGTGCTGTGTCCGCAGTCTCTGGTCATCCCTGTGCTGTGTCCGCAGTCTCTGGTCATCCCTGTGCTGTGTCCGCAGTCTCTGGTCATCCCTGTACTGTGTCGCAGTCTCTGGTCATCCCTGTACTGTGTCCGCAGTCTCTGGTCATCCCTGTACTGTGTCCGCAGTCTCTGGTCATCCCTGTACTGTGTCCGCAGTCTCTGGTCATCTCCTGTACTGTGTCCGCAGTCTCTGGTCATCTCCTGTACTGTGTCCGCAGTCTCTGGTCATCCCTGTACTGTGTCTGCAGTCTCTGGTCATCCCTGTACTGTGTCTGCAGTCTCTGGTCATCCCTGTACTGTGTCCGCAGTCTCTGGTCATCCCTGTACTGTCCGCAGTCTCTGGTCATCCCTGTACTGTCCGCAGTCTCTGGTCATCCCTGTACTGTTAATTAGTTTGCACTACTGTACGAGTTGTTTTTTCTAAACCAAAAGCTCGATATTCAGGTTTCATTGCAGTGTTGGCACTTTGAAAGAAATAAGTTGGTTTTGGGTTGCAGTTTGGGCACTCGGGCTCAAAAAGGTTCGCCATCACTGTACTAGGGCCAGTTTAGACAGGAGCCAGTTCACCTACCAGCATGTCTTTGGAGTGTGAGAGGAAACCGGAGTACCTGGAGGAAACCCACGCAGGCACAGGGAGAACATGCACACTCCAGACAGATGGTCCCGTGGCTACTACTTGGGTCGTAGGTTCGATTCCCAACCATGGCACCACATACCTGGAGTTTGCATGTTCTCCCTGTGCCTGCTTGGGTTTCCTCTGGGTACTCCGGTATCCTCTCACACTCCAAAGCCATGCTGGTAGGTGAATTGGCTCCTGTCTAAATTGTCCCTAGTATGTGTATGTATGAATGTGAGTTAGGGACCTTAGATTGTACGCCCCTTGAGGGTTAGGGACTGATGTGAATGTACAATATATATGTAAAGCGCTGCATAAATGGATGGCACTATACAAGTACCTGAAATAAATAAGTAGAAAAGACGCAGAGCACAAGGAACACTTGAAGGCAGGTAATCATGCATGGGAAATATAAGGGCTCATGTACACGGGACGTTTGGACTGCTGGAAAACGTAGGTTAAAAAAAAGTCAGTTTAGCCGCGTTTATGCTGTGTTTAGAAGTGTTTTTAAAAGATAACCTCAGGAGACCTTCCCAAATGCCCAGAATGAAAGCTTTGGTTCCATTGGTTCTGGTTCCAGATTTGGGCAAATGCCGTCTTTTATGTGAGTACTTGGTGCTCTGTACATGTGTATGCCATCACTTGAAGCCTCCCTATCCAGGCAATGGGAAGCATTCAGATCTTGGTTTTGGATGCCCCATTTATGTGCGTTTGCGATGCCATTGGCGAGTGGAAATTCTGGTGGGGGCGAGTGTTTCCCCTCAGGGCCGTCTTTCTGAGCAGGCTCGGAGCTCAGGCCGGTTCTGTCATTGGCACTGGGAGCCGTTCAACTGCTCCATAGCTGAGCGCAGTGAAAGCAAAGGAAGGAGTGTGTGCTGTGCTCTCTGCCTCCCCCTAGAGTGCAGTACCCGGCTCTGTGAGTGAACAACGATGTACTGCAACTTTTTAATATGGGGGGGGGGGAGGGTTTACATGTGTCTGTGTGTATGTACATGTGTGTATTTGTACAGGTGTCTGTGTATGTATGTACATGTGTCTGTATGTATTTTTGTGTATGTACATGCATATATGTGTATGCGTGTCTGTACGTGCCTGTGTGTGTATACATGTGTGTGTGTGTGTGTGTGTGTACATGTGTCTCTGTGCGTGTGTGTGTGTGTACATGTCTATGTATGTGTACAGGTGTCTCTGTTTGTGTGTGTTTGTTGGTGGCGAGTAACTCTTAAGGCCTGGCTAGTAGCTCAGGACCTGAAATTTTAAGCCCTGGTATAGCCTAACAGACATTTTTCTCCAATGACAATGCAACTGATTATAGCCACCATGGCTCCATTTTTAAAAAAAATATTATTTTAAATTTTTTCAGATCCATTGATTGTGATACTTGTAGACTCCTCGGGTTGGACACAAAGTTGAACTCCTGAAGATTTACAGATAATACTCTTGTAGTGGGGTCCCCAAACATTGCAAGGGTTAGGTTGAGTCTAGGGTAGAGTAATAAGCTGTAATACTTGTTTTGTTCTGCACTCCAGCAGGCTATCATGGCGTTGTGTGACTGGCCCACTGAAGCCTCTTGTCGCACTATGACATCATCACATACAATGCAGGACCTGGAATCCTGCATTGTATGCGAAGGTCCGCTCACAACCCGGAGCATTGTAGAGAAGAGGAAAGCCAGAGATGCACTGCAAGTGAAATAAAAAAAAAAAAAAAAAAAAATCTATGATAGGTCGTCTTCAGACCTCTGCATTAGGGCAATGTGGTAAAACGCATCACCACAATACTAGGTAAGGCATTGCACTGTGTTGCTGTGTCATTGATTCAGAATACTCCATAGAGGTAGAGCACCCCAACCCATAGGACCTCCTGTACAGCACACTATAGCATGCATGCCTTTTGTTGTGGTGCATCAAGTAGAAAGATGCTCTGGGTCCTTTTTTTTTTGTTAATGCATTGGTAGCCCATTCAAAATGTATTTATTTCAGATATTTATATAGCGCCATCAATTTACGCAGCTCTTTACATATATATTGTACATTCACATCAGTGCCTAACCCTCAAGGGGTGTACAATCTAAGGTCCCTAATTCACATTCATACATAGACACACAAGAGCCAATTTAGACAGGAGCCAATGAACCTACCAGCATGTCTTTGGAGTACCCGGAGCAAAACCACACAGGCACAGGGAGAACATGCAAACTCTAGGCAGGTGGTGCCTTGGTTGGGATTCGAACCAACGACCCTATTGCTGCCAGGCGGAAGTGCTAACCATTTAGCCACTGTACTGCCCGCAATCCATGAAATGCCACGGACCATAAAGGTCTAAAGGGGTCCGTTCCCCCTCTGGAACTCTTTAAACCTTTTTGGTGCATTGTGGGCTGTTATCACAAATATGTTGGTGTGTGCTATTTCATGACCTGCATCCATTACTGACCTGCTGCTGCAAATGTTAATTCCTCTCTTGCTTGATTTTCTGGCTGTGGTTCTTTTTTGAGTTGCTGACCCAGAACAAGTATGCAGCAAGTGAAGACAGAACGTCTTCGCTTGTTTCAGGTTAGTAAATCAAAGCTCTAAAAATTCAAATGTTGTGGTTGGGTAACATCTCTATTGGTAATCAGTGGCAGCTCACCAGGTTCTCAGGTGTTCCAGCCAGTGTGTAGCTCCACAGTCATTCTGGGAGTATCCCCTGTACAGGCATCATAGATCCAACTTCAAAAAAGGTTTTTGGTAAAACAGAAGGGCCAGCTTTGCCCAGAACAAAAGGCATCGGATCTGCATGACAGCCAAGCAACTAGCAATTTCAGAAGGAGTGGTAAGCATCCCTTGTTGGCCCTCTTGGGCTTCCTGACCATGTGATCGCTGTGATTGGCTGCCACAGTGATCACACAATTGGGAGTCCATCCTACCAGCTCTTGATTCTTGCTATGTGACTGGCAGCGCTGTCACAGTACTAGGGGCACATGAATGCGCATGCTCCCAGCACAAAGCAGCAATGCTGACGGTACATGTCTGTGTGGCCGCACGGCTTGAGGCCCACTCAAGTTAAAATGGAGTTTATTCTGCTTATATTTTGCCTTTCCTGGTTCCCCATGCCTCCACCCCCCCTCCATCAACATGCTAATGACATTTTTAAAATGGTTGAAAACCTTTCCATATAACCAGAGAAGTGACTGGCCTCAGGTGATACACAGAGATGGACCAAATCATCCTACATAAGTTGTACCTATTTATCTGTAGCAGTCTGTCCCCTACATCTTTTCAAAGTGCAAAATTTACATAGGATCTCTCATCTCTGAAAAGCAGGGGGTGGGGAGTAGAAGTTACATCGGTGAGATTCCTAAGAGCTGATTGGAGGGAAGATACACACCCTCCTTCACACAGCACTGCGGTGTAGAGCTGAGGCTGTCAATCACAGGCTGCGTGCTGGAGCTCCTTCCCTTGTCATGTCTTTTCTCTTGGTTTCAGGAAAATTTGTCAGAAGTGACTCATGCTAATAGCAGAGGAACAAGGCACACAGAAATTACACTTTGTACTGTGGATTGAGACAAACACACACTATAAAGGGATATGCGTTGTTCATATTTCACTTCTGTGATTTACAACCACTTTTGCTACAACCTTGATGTTGCGCCTTCATGATTGAAAGAACTGAAATTTATTGAAAGAAAAGGGACAGGCCAAGGACAATCAGGTTGAGGAGGAAGGCCAGAGGGCTAGCTTAACAACCAGCATCACAAGCATTTTCAGAAGGATGAAGGCAATGACAGACTATGGGATTGATTTACTAAAACTGGAGAATGCGAAATCTGGAGCAACTGCATAGAAACCAATCGGCTTCCAGTTTTTTTTGTGGTTTTTTTTGTCAAAGGTTAATTGAACAAGCTGAAGTTTGAAGCTGATTGGTGTCTATGCACAGCTGCACATGACTTTGCACTCTCCATTTTTAGTAAATCAGCCCTTATGTATTTGAATGCAGGTGCAGTACACAGGCAGGCCAATCTATCTACCAGCAGGCGCGCTTGCAGAGCCGAGGATCTGAGCTTCCATTCACACACAATAGAAACGGCTCGGTTAGGTGCCAGTTGGATGTCTTGGGTACCTGATTCTTCATATTCACCCAGCCTTGTGTCAACATCCTACTGCTTTTTTTTTTCATTTTTCTTTTCTTTTTCTCCCTCTCGTTTTTTTCATTCCCCTTTAACTTTCTTTTCTCTCCATTCGTCAGTCATTTTCCAGGCACAAAGCCCAGAGCTTTCAGAAGGAGGCCCAGACCCTTAAACCGTACCTAGGGGCCGTTTTCTGCCTTCTGCTCACGCTACAGGCAGTTGTTGTGGGGAACCTGAGATGTGGTCATGCCGTTTGGCTCTGCCTGATGGAAAATAACAGAGAGCAAGATTATTGCCCTAAGAGTGTACCTTTGTCGGGGGGGCAGGTGATGGGAAATCCCAGTGGGGACAGCAAAACACTTTTTTTTCAATAAGCGTGTACTCGTATTACGTGATCAAGCAGTTTTGACCCCCAAAGTCCAGTTCGTTTGACTAGTGCGATTGCTCCGTACCACACTCTGGTGGCACGGTTTGGCACACAGTGCCTTGGCTCATTTGAAAAGGTGGGATCAGACTTCACCTCCGCAACATCTCCAAGATACGACTGTTCCTAACCTCCGAAACCACTAAGCAACTCATTCACTCGCTTGTTATATCACGCCTCGACTATTGTAACTCCCTCCTCACTGGCCTACCTCATCGCAGGCTATCCCCACTCCAGTCCATCATGAATGCTGCTGCCAGACTCATTCACCTTACTAACCGCTCTGTATCTGCCACCCCTCTCTGCCAATCCCTCCACTGGCCTCCACTCAGTGTCCTCCACCCCTCTCTGCCAATCCCTCCACTGACCTCCACTCAGTGTCCTCCACCCCTCTCTGCCAATCCCTCCACTGGCCTCCACCCCTCTCTGCCAATCCCTCCACTGGCCTCCACCCCTCTCTGCCAATCCCTCCACTGGCTTCCGATTGCCCAACGGATAAAATTCAAAACGCTAACACTGACATATAAAAGCTGTTCATAACACTGCCCCTAATTACATCACCGACCTTGCCTCTAAATACCACCCAAACCGTACTCTCTGCTCCTCGCAAGACCTCCTACTCTCTAGCTCCTTTGTCTCCTCCTCCCATGCCCGTCTCCAGGATTTCTCAAGGGCTTCACCCATCCTCTGGAACTACTTACCCCAATCTATCAGGCTCTTGCTCTGCTCAGGTTATCATTACTCTGCTCACTTTTAGGTGCACTCTGAAAACCCATCTCTTCGAGGAAGCCTACCCCGACCCCAACTAATACTGGAATCCTCTACTCTTCCTACCACTCTCCATCCCCCACAGCTAATTACCTCTTGTACCACGATCCCCTCCCTCCTAGACTGTAAGCTCCAAGGAGCAGGGCCCTCTAATCCCTCTTGTATTGAACTGTATTGTTACTGTACTGTCTCCATCCATAATGTAAAGCGCTGAGAAAACTGTCGGCGATATATAAGTCCTGTATAATAATAATAATAATCAGGAATGGTTCATTTGGATCCGCCACAATACACATCTGTGTGAGGTCTCAGGCCCAGCCCATTGTAAGCACAGGCCAGTCATGCTCGACACATGCCAAGTGTAAGTGCGCCCCACAAAAGGGAAGGGTTAGGACCTCTGTCAGGTCTTCTGGCTGGGTCTTCCTGTAGCAGTGACTACAGCTCTCCTTATTTAATTTCATTGGAATCAGACAGCAATAACAGCTTGACGTAACTTGACGCTTTCTGAGTCAATCCCAATCTCAAAGAAACATTTGGCTAGAGTTGGGCTTTAAATACGTTTTTAAAGGCGTTACAATGACAGGAACATTCCTGTCCTCTCTCCTGCCAGGCGTCACAAGACAACACTGCACCATGAACCAAGCTGCTGTCTCTGTGCCTCAATAGTACATTCATATATGTCACGAGTACGAGTCTTCCTTCTCCAAAGCAGGATTAGTATCTGGAGGCCTTACTCTACTATAGCTGCAATTACTGATCTCAACATCACTTGCTATAATACATCAGGGAATTCTATCTGAGCAATCGCATTCGTGCATATGCAGTGGAAGTACCTGTTGTTGCTGGCAGAGCTCTGCCAACATGTTGGACGATATCTGATCCCTTCATCACACAAGTATGTGGACAC